TTTAGCTCCGTGTAGGACACAGAGCTAAACAAAGGCTGAAAAGGCAGAAACCACTGAATTTTGACATTTATGGACTATTGCCATACCTTTAAATTTGCATGCCAGAGAGGTAGTGCTTGTATAAACACTTTTTTTTTAAAGGAAGAATTTAATTAATTTTAGGGACAGTCTAATTCTTGTCTGTGCAAAATGCTGCTGGTTTTACGGCATCTGCTGAGGCAATGACATTTGTTATTGATGGAAAGTGTCTATTCTTACATCCTTACAGTCATTTTTATCCTGATTCTTAACTGTAAAATCTAAAGAGGAAGGCTGCACACAAGTCCCATTGCATTCTGTATGAGAGGTCAAAGCTGGCCACCTTATGCACTCTGCACTTCCTGAATGATTTCTTGTGCAACTGAAATGTTCACCCACAAGAGGAAAGAAAGCTCCCACGCTTTTCCTCTTTTCACGTTTACTTAAAATTAGTCTTTGCTTATGAACCAGAGAAAAACACTGCAAGGGATGTTTTTGTTCATTTCTAATGTATCTTCCTTCTGATTTCAGCTTGGGGAAGAGCTGCTGCTGCCACATACCTGGTCGGCTTTCTACTTCTAGTCATCTGTTTTGCTCTGGCCATCATAGCATTTGCCATTGACACACTTCGGTTCAACTTCATACGAGGGATTGGAGGCTTGCTTTTTGTCGCTGGTAAGGCAGTCTATGAAGTCAAGCTTAGCTTGTGCATGTATATCCATACTAGAACTGGCATTTCCGTCAGCTGATTCTATACCAGTTCTGTGCCTCTGTGCACGTGAGCTGACTGAAAAGGAATGTAACGTCTTTCACATCCTCCAAAACACGGGTGGATTTAGCTACAGGTGTTATGGAGGCCGGCAACGGGAGGACTGTCAGCTTAAACTTTTTCTCTCCTGTTTCTTCAGCTGTGTTCTCCATCATGGGCCTGGTCATTTATCCAGTGAAATTCTCAAGTGAGATGGAACTGACAGGAATCAACATGTTCAGCTGGGCCTATGGCTTTGGCTGGACCACCGCCATCATGGAAATATGCTTGGGATTCTTCTTCTGCTGCCTTCCTAACTATGAAGATCAGATCTTGGGTAATGTGAAGCCCACATATTTTTACTCTTCCCCATAAGCACCAGGAAAAATGTGTTCGTATTCCAGAGATATCTGACAGACCAGCTACATTTTCCAGATGATTGCCATCAGATAACAGTAGAAAAGGCTGGAAACTTTTCAAATGCATGTAGAAAAACGGTACTGGCATTCTGCAATAAAGTTATCGTCTACTCTATTTTGGACCTTCATATCTGATATGGGTTGTTTAGATCAAGTCAAAGTATTAAAAATCCTTGTGTTTCCTCATTCATTCCCATGAATAGGGTGTATGTGGATTCCATTGCATCTTAAATGCATTCATATTTCTAGTTAAATTCAGAAAATCTTTTTAAACTGCCAGTAAACAAAACAACACGTATCATCTTCCTGAAGGAAAGCAGCTCACAAATATCCCATTTTGCATGTATCATCACCTTAACCTGAAGATTTTGTACATTTTTCAAGAAGCCAAATACCTTTATCTTCTGACTGCCAAAGCAGTAAATTATTCAGTCAGCACTTCGTAGCTTTCATTCAGTCATTTAAGGCATAGGGACAGGGTAAGAAAAGGATGAGAGAAAGCCCTCTACCAAGGCCAGCATCTTGACTTTTGCCTGTCCATGTGGAATGTAAGTATTTATTTCTGAATATTTGTAAGAGCAAGCAAGGACCATCAGTAAACCCTTAAAAATCTTGGCATGCTGTTGCTGTGGCCAGCACAGAACAGGCAGAGGCAGAGGAGATTTCAAGCCACCCTTGCAACTTACAGATCTGGTTTGAAGAGGCTCCTGTGTGGCTTTCTTCATGGACATCTGCCTCTTTTATCCACTGTAGCAAAATCTATGGCTTAAACAGCTCTGTTGTACTGGTCCAGCTATTTTATCCATCGTAGAAGGTTCAGGAAAGACTTAACCAGAGATTAGATTCCCCACAGCAGTCCAGGTACACAGCAGGAGTGGAGCTGGGGCAGTGTGAGTGTAGGTATCAAACATTAGTTAAAAGGCCCCTTTTTCATTGGTTTGCTGTTCATAAGTATTTTAAAAGTAGAAAGTGTATACTATTGTACGTAACTGTAAAATGCATAAATAACTCTTACCATCTCATACTGAGGCTCTCATAGAGAAAATCACGTCATAAAACACCTTTCAGTATCTTATACTCCACAGTGCTGCAAGCCTGTATATATTGCAAGCAATGAAGTATACTCAAGACTCTGCTGGTTTCTTCCTTGTTAATCCTAAATTTATAATGTTTCGTTTCTTCTCTTAAGTGAAAAAATGGAGAATTCTGCTGTGTGGAGAAAGAAGTCTAATTGAAATCCTTAGCTACAGAGGATTATTAGCTTGTAACACATTTACAATTTTGTAACTATCTGTACTTTATGAAAAGTGTCCTGTCTAATTTTCTTTACTGCGAAGAATGAGAGGTAGGAAACTTTTTTAGTAAAACCTCTGGGTAGGTAAAATTAATAAAGGCACAGGACTTCACTTTTTTTTTTTTTAAGCAATTAACTCCATTTTCTTTCATGTAGTGACTTTTAACTTAGATCAATAAACATGAAAGGTGTATCAGACCAATGGGGAGAGTATATGCAACAGGGTTTAGTTAGACTAGAACTTGCAAACACATTAAGAAGATGTTTCTTAGTTGGATGGAAATTAAAATGAAATAGAGTTGAGAAAGCAGTTTGTATAAAATGACTTGCAATTCTTTATGTAATGTTATCTGTTCAGGAAAAAAATTATCATAAATCTTTTCATTATGGTTATTACACCAAATAAATGATGGTATCTATGTATAGTTTCAAGAGCGAGTCTTAGCTTTTGTTCTCTACTGAGAGTGGGGAAGTGTGGAAGACCCCAAAGCCTCCTCTTCTCCAGCATCACCTTGGAGCACAGGGGTACGCTGGCTGGACTTTGAGAGGGGACAGTAACTTACAAACCTAGCATCACAACAGCCTCTATTATTCTTCAGTCCTACTCTGACTGTTTCCTGAGGCCTTATTCACACGTGCATGAGAATACTGGACTTGCTTTGTTTGCTTATGGGCTGTGTGGAGTCAAGTCACTCTACGCAGGATTCTGTGCTATAGCGTGCTGCAGCTCGTCTTGGCACGCAGGGCCACGCACTCCTGTTCACCGACTAGGAAGCCGGTGCGCTCCCCGATCGGGGTTTTTGCTCCAATGGATGTGGCAATCCCCTCAGGAAGCATAAGGGAACTTGAGCAAGCACTGAATGTATTTACAGCTTCTTTAACATTAGCTGGACACTGACCCAACATCTGGAGGTGGGGAAAAGTGCACAAAAAAAGGTTTGGGAGTGTGACTCCAACCCTGATGAGAGAGCAAAGCATAATTAAAGGGCAAAGAAAATCTCCAGCGACAGATCATCCCCCCTCCTCCCTCCTCTCCCTTGTTGCTCTCAGCAGCTTTACCTCCTCCTCCTCTTTCTCCTCCTCCTCTTCCTCCTCCTCCTCTCCAAGGGCAGCACAGCAGTGTCAGGGCTGGTGGCTGGGGCTCTGTGGGGCGCAGCCCCAGTCCCCGTTCCCCACTGCCACTTTCGCCTTCCGGGGAGAGTGGAGGAGCGAAGCACCTTTGCTGGCCCCAGCACAGTAGCATGGACCCTAGCCTGCCTTCTGGCTGCCGGCCCCCAGAGGAAAGGCTTTCTCTGAAAAAAGGAGGGGTCAGGTGGGTATCCAACAAGCAGAAGCATCACAGGGGCTAGAGCTCAAGTGCCTGCCTTTAGAGTAGCTTGCTTCCAGTCATGCCCTGCCTTTAGGGTAGTCATGCCAGTTCACCACAGACCCCTAGAATAACACATCCTAAACCCCGCGGCAGAAAAGCAGTGAGAAAAAACATAAAACTGTTGTACAGATCCCAGTGCTGTTGCCTGTGACTGCTGCGAGAAAGGAGCACGGCAAAAGCAGCATGCAAAATGCAATTGGTTCTGACAGAAAAGGAAGCTGAATGCAGAAGCCAAGGATCTGCCTCAACTAGATTATTAACTAGGTTACCAACTAGCTAGGTTATCAACTAAACTGTTAAATTAGTCTACAGCCTGCTCAACTAGATTATTAATTAACCAAATTGTTAGATTAATTTAAGCTAACTCAGCATCAGAAAGTCTGGATTTTCAAGCAAAAGAGAAACTAGAAGAAAAGACATCCCTTCAGTTCTGCATCTCCGTTTGCAGGGCTCTTGTTCCAAGTCTCACCTATAAGAGAAAAGGGCACTTAAACACTAAGAGCAGCAAAATAACAGATTTAAAGTTTCTTTGTGCCCAATGGCAATGCTAAAGAGAGAGCCGGAAAGATGAATTGGCTTTTGAGAACTTTAGGTCTGCTACAACAACAGAAGTAAATACTCGACTGCCAAAGGCATTGCTGCTGTTCATGTCTAAGAATTAGGGAAACATCTCCAACAAACACATTTTATTTAATTCAACTACATTACTGAAAAGTAAAGTAAAAATTGTGCTAAAAACAAGTGGAATGTCAAGCAACCCTACAGGTACAAACTGAAGGAAAAGAAACAAATAATGCTTTCTATTGGTAAGTTAATATGTTCAATTTAATTTCTGGTGTTTCTGCCAGAGCTTGTAGATGTAGACAGCTTGGTCTTTTCAATTTCCTCTGCAAATTTATCCATCTTTTGTTTCACATTTTCAGGCACCTGCCATTTCATCTTAAAATACAGCCTGCCTAATCAATAATTGAAATGCAATCTAGGTTGCAACTGTATTAAAGTTGTGCATATTTTGCTGTATGAACTCATGCTCTAAGAGAAGTTTTGACCCCATTGACATCACTTACAAAACATTCATTGATTTTCTTGAGGCTGACATTTCATCTTTGAAGCGCAAACCCTTTTTTTACATGTGCTCAAAATCAATATTGCCTCTATGGGATGCTCCATTGATTTCAGCAGCTCAGTTTGCTTCTGGAGTAGGACACTGGTCCATACGAGGTAAGGAGCCAGTTACAGCAGACAGGGTCATTCCCAGAATAAAGGACAAGTCAATGTGTGTAAGATTAGCAGAATCTGGGTCATAATTAGATCACAGTTGGTTTGATACACAAGACAGTCACAGTAAAAAGATTAATCTTTCCTTTTGACGCATCTCAGCTGTGCAACAGTTATTACTTCTTATAATTCAATTTCTTGGAACACTTCCTTGCACATTTCTATATTTATTGGATTTCTGTGTGCTCTGAAGATGAGTAGACCAAAGAAAAGAATTAAACCATCATGTTTGTGATAAGGGAAAACAGAACTGGCCCATCCGTGCACTGTCGGAAAGCGGGAATCAAACCATCTCACTGGAAGGATAGTGAACTGAACAACCACGGAGTTACTTCCAAGTCATACTGGAAATTCAAATAAGAAAACTGAGAATTGAAAGACTGCTATATAGGTAATAATGGGGAAAGAGAGACGAAGTCACGTGTATCTTCCTTTATCTTTTTCCTCACTGTCAAAGCATAGTTATTGCTAGAAATTTTGATTTCAAGAAAAAATTGCTACTCTGGTGCAGCTGCATAATAGTGTCTAGGCCTAAACTTACCTGCAAAGTTCTTCAGTGCTGAGTGCCAAAATCTAGAAAAGCACCTGGATAACCTTAAACTTGCAGATGGTTCTGATGGGGTCATCAGAGCTGTTTAAGTAGACGGGTTGTTAAGTGATTTGCAGATTAGGGCCCATATGCCTGTCTACACACACTATTCCACATTAATGTTACACATTAGTTCCACAGATTTCTTGCCTATGAAATCACATAGTAAATTGTTTCTGTTTTGTTTTTAATTTTCTATGATCAGACTGCAAATGTGGGTGCATCATAGAATTTTGCATGTCTCTGCTGGGTGTGAGGAGAATTTATAGGAAAAACTTTCAAAATAGCTTTACTGTTTATGATAAATGTGAGAGTACATCAAGCTGCCCTCTCTTGGATAGCTTTTATGATACATCCTTTTACTTGTGCCACTGTTTGCCTATGCCATCTGTTTTTCTGTGAAAACAGTTTTGTGAAAACCTACACTAATGATTGTATCATACTGAAAAGAAATCATATTAGGTATCCATGGAGAGATCATCATAAAGCACTTGAAATAGCCCTTGATTGTTCAAATGCAGTTCACACAGAGAGGGAGATGTTGCCTGTAGGATTTTTCCACAGAATAGTTTAAACCCAAAAGAAGATGT